TGGTCGGTCGTAGCCACGTTGGTCGGGGGGTGAGCGGCTTTGGTCGGTCGTAGCCACGTTGGTCGGGGGGTGAGCGGCTTTGGTCGGTCGTAGCCACTTTGGTCGGGGTGTGAGTGGCTTTGGTCGGTCGTAGCCACGTTGGTCGGGGGGTGAGTGGCTTACGAGTTGGTTAAAAGGCATACCTCTTAATATTCGCAGATCTAGACCGCCGGAATGCGGCCCTTTCGCGGGGCGATGACCCCTGCATTGCTGCACTGGTCAGCACACTCGGGTAGATCCTGGTCTGACCTGATTTGGACTTGACCTAAATCCAAGGGGTCTCAGCCCAAGGGACCTCAGCTTAAGGAACCTCAGCCCAAGGAACTTGCGCCCAAGAAATTGAAACTTGCGCCCAAGAAACTGAAGCTTGCGTCCAAGAAGCCGGAGCTTGTGTCCAAGAACTTCAGCCTTGGGTCTCGGGGGGGGGCTTGAGGACGCGCCTTGAGGACGCGCCTTGAGGACGTGCCTTGAGGACGTGCCTTGAGGACGTGCCTTGAGGACACGCACTGGGGCGTGATTCACTCGTACCTGCAACCTTCGTGATCAGAGCATTGCGTGCTAGCCGTGCTGCTGTATCTTTGGTACTTTTCGGCTCTTCGGTAGAAGGGGACTTCGTCCAGCTCGGGAACGACGTAAGGCGGCGGGCACTGCTGCAGCGGGGTGGCCAAGGAGGGCAGGACGAAGGTGGCCCGAGTCGCCCCTGCGTGAAGCGGTCCATTTTTGCCGCCCGCCATGAGAGCTTGAGCGCGGGCTTCCAAGAGCTCGGTAAGGCTGGTTGTCATTTTCAAAATATGGACGGGTCCGGAATAAGCCCGAGCGGTCTCACGGGGCCGGAACCGTCTTGGCAGGGCGCGGATCTGCCGTCGGACCTTGGAGGCGCCCTTTTCAAGAACGGCACCCTTAAGACCGGAGACTTGTCCCTGCCGTCGGGGGCCATTAAAGACCCGACAGCTATAGACCTGGCAGCTACGGACCTTACGGTCGCTGCCGACCTGATGAAAGATCCCACAAAAGATCCGACGCCGAGAGACCCGACGCCCCGAGAGGCCAGGCGGGCGAAGGGAGGCCGATACCCGTACGTGTTGGATAGTCGGGGGCAGGTGAATACGAGTGGGGAGAAGTTGCTGATCCTTTGCCGGCACGCTCAGAGTGCATTGAATGCAGCGCGGAAGGGCTACTTGGTGCAGCCGTGGACAATCGTGACGCAGGGGTTGAGTCAAGTGATTGACCCGGGCGTGATGGATGCACCCTTGACGGAGCAGGGCCAAGAACAAGCCATGGGTGCGGGTACAGTCCTGGGTCAAGACGTGCTCTCAGGGCGGTTGCCGCCTGTAGATATAATCGGCGTTTCACCCTTGCGTCGCACGTTGCATACGACCAAACTCATCGTCGAGAAGGCCGACCAAGTTACCGGCACCTGGTGGAAGTCCACTGATCAACTGCTCGACGAAGCCAAGAGACGCAAACAGCGCTGCCGCCGCCGCTCCATGGTTGTTCCCCATGACCCCTTTGATGATGAGGAGGATGAGGAGGATGAGGAGGCGGAGAGACTCACGGAAGAACTCTCCTACAACACCCGTCGAAACGCTTCTGCCAGCAGACCCAATGTGAGTTGGGACTCCGGCGCCCAATCCCGAGGCACCTCAGCCACAGTCTCCATCGGGTCGCACGCTCGTGGGGCCATCGGCTCGGACCGGGACTTGGCTCCCCCGGACATGCAGTCTACGGATGTGGCGCCGACGCCGGGATCGTCCAAGGCCGCTGGCGCCAAAGCAACGACCATGTCGCCCAAGGATGTGGCGACTCCGGGATTCCGGAGTGACGACGATGGCTCAGCCGAAGACCTGGAGCCACGAATGCCTCTGCGATTCGCCTCGCCCCTCGGAAAGACCGACTCGACGCCGCCGACCGCCGCCGATGCGACCACAGCGGATACGTCTGTTACGGACACGGATGGCACAGGCTTGACGGACTCGGAATCACCAGCACCGGAAGAAGTTCTGCTCACGGGCAAGAGGATCCTCACCATCATTCCCTACTTGAGGGAAAGGAGAACTACCTCCGCCGACCAGCCACTCGTCCGGCCGTCCCAAGCGCTGGAATTTTGGAAAGACCGAAATGTGGAAGCCAGCGTCGCAGACAGCACCGGCTCCGGCTCGCGCTACCTCCGACCCGGTACGAGACAGACCATCAACCACTACCTCACCGTGGGCTTGACCAAACAGTGCAGGAAGGTTGAAATCGAAAGCGTAGAAAGCGTCAACAAGTAAGTAGGGCTTTTCCCCCCCCTGCTTGCTTCTTCTATTGTTGTTTCTTGTAGGCGTGTTGGGTTGTTGGAGACATGGATTGGTGCGTGTCCGCACAGCGTCATTTTGGTCGTAGGTCACAACATGATATTCCGTGCGTGGCAGCAGCATTGGCGTCAGAACGATTCACCAGTGCAGTGGGCATCTCGGGAAGATATCCTGAGTCGGTTGGAGCGTTCAAAGGGGACTATATCGATCCGGCATTTTTACGAGTCATGTGTAAGGTCTGATTTCTCGTCGCCGACAGCACGCGAAGAGGCTGCGGATCTCGACGAGGAAGATATCCCCGCCGGTTCATTGGCCACCAGTATGGCGCTGTACGGCGTAAATAAACAGAAGCGAATATATGAGTGTGGCAACGCTGAATTCATCATAGTGCGCTGGCGGAGACAGATCGATCCTGATCTGGATATACCTAAGGGCAAACGAAGACACAAACTAAGGAGACGGCGTAACGCAGAGAGGCGGGCGTCTCTGCCGCTAGACGACTTAGCCTACCGGTAACGTGTGCCACATATGTGTCACACGTGTGTGCCACATATGTGTCACACGTGTGTGCCACGTATGTGTCTAGCACAGACATGACGTATGTGTATTACGTTTTGACAATATTGGACTATTCCATCCTTACCCAACCTTGGAGTGGGACTACCCAACCTTGGAGTGGGACTACCCAACCTTGGAGTGGGACTATTCCATCTTTACCCAGAGTTAAAGCAGGAGACCGTCACCACAGAACTGCGCCTCTTTTTGGTGCCAGGATGACAGTGACGACATGGGGCGACAAATCAAAATCTGCGATTGAGTTCAAAATCAGTGCTGATAGCAGTTGGGTTTTCAGCGTGAGTCAGTCATGAGCGTGTTTATTAGCTGGGTGGTGTGGGTGGGGGTGGTATAAAAAGGGTGCATTTTTTGGTGATGTTGTTTCGATGGGGGGTGCTGTCGTTGTTGGTTAGTGGGATGCATGTGGATTTGCGGAGTGTGAAGTTGGCGGATCCGCACACGTTGGTTACAGTGATGCGTGCGTTTGTGTATGCTAAGCCAAGTGCAGATGATCCAGGTATGGTGCCATCGATCGGTTGGGGCTTGTGGGACTCGCCATATCCGACGTATGCTCGAGGGGTGATGTCTCGTGCGCAGCTCAAGGTGAGTGGGTCATTGGCTAATAAGTATGAAGGCGTGCCCCCAGTGTGGTTGACAATGATGAAGAGTGAGGACTTTTGGGGGCAGTTTGTACCGTATCAGAATTCATCGCACTTCTGTTGCACAGATGAAGATGTCGAAGCAGGAGACTGTGGGGCAAAAAGGCAGTTACGTTTGCCGCGAGATATCCGCAGCCGTGTTCTTTCTGCACCCGTTGCATTGAGTGCCACGCGCCAATTAGTTACGGATGCGGCTTTCCCATTGAGCCACACCGGCGTCTACTATTTGCTGCTGGCCAACTGCATGGACCGTGGCGATAAGGTGCGAGATGGCGACCAGCTTCGAGGCGACGTGTATATCGAGGGCACACACGGTTTTTTGTCCGGCGTGGACGTGCCCAAGTTGCATCTTTACTTCTCTATGACCATGCTGTGGAGCGTGCTGGTAGTCTGGTGGATGGTCGCCATCCACTCGTACCAAGAACACCTACATTTCATCCACAACTTTCTCAGTCTGCTGTTAAGTGTAGTGCTCTTCGAACAACTTGTCTCCTACATCACCTACTCATGGGAAAACGACAGCTCCCAAGGCGCTGGCGTAATTATCAAATTTGTGCAAGTCGCCGCAACCGGTATCAAAAACACTTTCGTCGGCACACTCCTTCTCCTCCTCTGTCTCGGCGTCTACAGTGTGCTAACCAAACCCCTTGTACCCCATCTCAAGATCAAAGTCTGGCTTCTCGCCACAACCTTCTTCACCACCGACCTTCTTCGTAACACTCTTAACAAGTTCCATACCGAACTCAATCTCGGTGTTACCACACTCGTCCTCGCTTCATTACCACTCACTATTTGCGCCGCCGGCGGCGCCGTATGGGGCTGGTCCAACTTGCACACATCCCTCTACGAAACACGCAAGCAAATGAACCTTGTCAAAGAAACCATGCTATCCAAACTACGCAGAATACTCGTCGTAGGAGCCGGCTTCTTTATCACCTGTCTCGCCGCACAAACCTGCGCCTATCTGAACGATCCTGAAAACGTCTGGAAATACGAATGGCTGTACACCGACGGGGCACCCGGCATCCTATTCTACTTCACCGTCGCCTGTATCGCCATCATCATCAGACCTAGTCTCAACAAAGAAGAGTTGTAACACACACACACCCACATGGTCAAGGACCCCACATGGTCAAGGACCCCACATGGTCAGGGGCACACACAACCGAGCTCTTTTAGAAACAGCAATCTCCCCATCAAAATCACTTCTCCCGGAAAGATGGGCAGAGAGAACATGGAGATAGACAGTGTCCAAGTGGACCCTCGGCTCTACGACGGTCGGGAGGCTGAAGCGGTTTTCTGACGCCGAGACTGTCGTGCTTTTTTGCTTGGTTAGTCTCACTGGTTAGGCCGTGATTAGGCCAGTAGTTGGGCCGTGATTAGGTCCAGTGGTTAGGCTTAGTGGTGAATACTGGGTGTGAGGGGTCGTAGAAGAGGTTGCTTGGTTGGACTGACGGCTAGATTAAAATTCAGAGAGAGGATGTACGTGTCATATGAAGCGACGGGGTTGCAGGGTTATGTGGCACGGGAGCTCCAACATCAACTGCGAGTACAAGGGACGGTAATATCGATCTATGTGCTGAATGAAAACAAACGTCGACGACACGAAGCGACGACTGAGCTCACGGAACGAGAACGTTCGCTACTGGATAAAGGCAAAGACTGGCACCAATGGCCCGATAGTGGTCCTCCAAATGATCTGGGCGGCGGTCTTGGAACTGAAGGTTTGGCAGCAGGAGGCGTTGGGGTTGAAGCTCTGGGGACCGAAGGCCAGCCTGGAGACCAGATGCGAGGTGAAAGGATGCTATGGTTTCGAATAATCCAGGACGGTCGCATCTGTGCGTCGGTGGAGGAGTTACGGAGACTCCAAAGCTGCCCCTACGAGCTGGTAACGAGACAGGGGCTGCTGAATGTATTTTCATCCGAGTTCGTAGAGACCGTCGGCAGCTTGGTGTGCACGACTGTCTCGGAGGAAGCTGTCACCTTTCTCTCCTTCTTCTACGGACACTTGCGGTCAAGCATCCAGCTACACACTGCCCTCAGCCACTCCACTAAGGCAGACCCCTGCGCTGTCGCCAAAGCTATCAAGGTCCAATGGCACGGCGAATGCGACTCACGGAAACGACCTTCCAACCCGGAACTGTGGGTGGACTCCAATTCGGATATAAACTGCGGCGGTCTACCACTTCTATTCCTTGGAAGCAGTGCCAACAGACTTGTAAGTAGCTCCCCACTATGCATACTCACCCACTATGCATACATACTCCGTGTTCTATGCGCATAACCCGCATGACAACAAGCGCGTGTGTGCGAACAATATGGTTGTTTATTTAGATGCCGTTGATAGTTCGTGATCTTTGGGGCAATGCTTGTCGTAACACGCGAGCAATGCTATGGGAGTCGCTATATGTGAACCATTTGCTTGGAGTGCACAGTGCTAATGGGAGTAATGGAGGAGATATTCATGTTGCTGGTGCTGTCTTATCTGCGGGAGCCTGTTCGCCGTTTTCTGTGTGGTTTAATGAAATGATTTCTGCGTCTTCGACCACGATAGCTTTAAAGCATGCTGAGCGTCACGTATTTGATATCAACAAGTCGATGAGGACGGTTCGTGTGGAAGCACGACAGACTGGAGGCCGCGTGGACAGTCATTTGTTCATGTTGTTGTTTGGCGGGAAGCGTTTATCACGAAAGATTGTAATCACTCCGTTAATCGATTCCTTGCCCAACCGAACTTTGTTGGGTCGGTTATGCCCACAGTTTGACCAACCATGGGATCACTGCAACAGTACATGTCATCAAAGTACAGGCCAGCGGCAGGAACTCTGTGGTGGAGCGATGCATGCCGATTTCGTATCCATATCTACAGGGACCACAAGAATCGCCACTTGTTCTATAGGTAGCGATAGAACAAGTGGCGATACTACCTGTACAACAGGTAGCGGTGGAACATGTGGCGATGAGGAGTTTGATGAGAATATGTTGGTAAAGTCGTTGAAGGAAAGTTGGTTCAACAGCATCGACACGCACAACATTATCTTGCTGCCGCTTTCTCTGACTAACACTCTAAGTGTCTTGCTGCTGCTGCAGTTGGTGTGGCTCTCGGTTCCGATGTTGCGGGAAAGAGCTCAGATAATCATCGTTAATCCGAATTCAACTCTTTTAAACAACACTATCCGATTATTGATTGATGCACTCTCATATGAGATTCGCGACTTGTTCGTTTGCACCAAGAACTATCTCGTGTCCAATCTGCTGGACGGATTCCAGAACAGGAAGAAGGATAATATCTACACCAAATATGTTGACAATATCAACCTGCTGCCAGACGTATTGGCCAAAGGCGCTCCCTTGAAATTGATCGTTTCGTCCCCCGAGAGTATAGAGGAAGGCTGGACGAAAGACATCTACTACAGATACATTCACCGCAACCCTGCTGCAAAACTACTTGTTTCATCACCTCACAATAACGGTGTTATGACCACTGCGCCAAACGCCAAACCCAATGACCAATACAATGACACACCACCGCCCGACGCAATGTGCGATGGGATAAACCACCACCAGTCACACGACCAATCAGACGACCCGCTAAACGACCAGCCAAACAATCGGGGGAACCGTCAAGCACAGTCAACGAAGATGCTACTCAAAACCATCTATAATATTGCTCGGAATGCTGACGATGCCCGTAATGACGCTGACATTCTTCGACAGGCAGCCCAGATCGACGCTTATTTTACAGCGCTGCTTGAGAACGAATTTTACAAAGAAATCAATGACGCTATGATGCAGGAACAGGAGGCTGCATCTAGCGAATACAACCCTAACTGTCGTCCCACCAATATGTCCTTAAAAGATGATGTCAACAGCATCTTTGAGAACCTTAAAGACATAAGAAAGGCTGTTAAGCAAACCATAAACGTGAAAATGCCCACCGCCTGGGACGATCTGGTGGTTGCAAATCGGCTGATTCCATTCGACCGAGCATTTGGGTCATACAAGTTAGAGGAAAATACGGATAGTCATTATTCTTGCGCCATCGAACGTGTGTTCAAACGAATTCCGACTGGAATTCAGTTCACGAAATCGCTTTTCAGGACGGCAAATCTGCATATAGAGGGATCCCATGAAGCCCCTGTCTCCACTGGCCTGCTTCCCCTGATTCAAATTCCGGTGGCTGTCTGTGGTTTAGAGATGCTGAAGGCGAAAATGACGGACGTGCCCTGGCCGCCCGGGAGTCCTGGTCGATGCGTGTTATCCAACCACGAGATTCAGCGCGTTCCCGTAGAGCACAAGCAGAGAGTGATTTTGGACAGTTCGTCTGCCCCAGCGAGTTCGTCTAACTGGTTGTTGGGGATCTTGAAGGGACTTGGCGAGGCAATGAAGGGGGGTGAGCAGCAAAGTCGGAAAGTTACACGACGAGCCTTTGACAACGCAGTCTTGCCCTCACTACACACTGCGCTTCCTGTCCCCTCGACCGATGAGGCACAAGGCACAATGTTGGTGAAAGACTTGCCACCGGTCCAGAAAATCGTCAATTCAGTGTATCACGAATTCGTCAGCACTATGTCTCTAAAGTCGGCGGACAGACCGCGTCTGGCGACAACCACTCACAACAGCATCAAAACTGTCCACGTCAAAAGCAACAACATTGGTGTGGTGCAACTGGGGGTCATTGCGTCCATTGTTAAAGGCAGCAGCAAAATTAATTAGCCCCCCTCCCGCCTCCCTGCCCACGAAGGTTGCGGTAAGGATTTAAAAATGTCTTACATCGAAGTCACAGTCAACGACCGGCTGGGCAAAAAGTGTCGTGTCAAATGTCTACCTAGCGATACCATTGGCGAACTCAAGATGCTGGCGGCGGCCATGCTTGGAACACGGCCGGACCGCCTCAAATTTCAGAAGCAACACGTCGTGCTCAAAGACCACATCACCCTGGATGACTACGAGATTCACGACGGCATGAACATAGAGCTGTACTATATATAGCTCAAGTTTAATCTAAGTATAACATAAGTGTTTAGGTCAGTAGTGGAGGGAGGGAGGCCGGCCAGTGCCCAGTGGGTGGAAGCCATTAACCAGTGGGTGGAAGCCATTAACCAGTGGGTGGAAGCCAGTGGGGGACTTTTTGGAGTAGTGACCCGTGGTGGGTATTTCGGGGGAGCAAAAATGGCTAATGTGCCTACGTTAGAAACGCCGAGGAGTGGGGCGGATACAGGGCGATCGTTGCCTTTCGAGGTGTTCCCGGCCCGGACATCGGACCGTTGGGAGTATCTGAACTCCCAGAAAATGACAATCAACACCAGCCGGTTGATGGCAACGGTTAGTGATGAAGATGACGACGATTCGGCCCGTACAGACCTCGTTCTCGAAGGCGCAGACGACGAAGACTGTGCCCAGAATATCTCCGAAGTAGACTCCCTCGAAGACGTAACCCCCCGCAACTACGACCCACTAGAAGAATACAACGGTGTCCAGGACAGCAGCCGTGGCCGCCGCGGTAGTGCCGGACGAATTAACACTGACCGGCTTAATACTGACCTGCCTAACAGTGATCGGCCCAACAATTACGGCCCTGACAAGCTAGGGTCGGCCAACGATAGTCCAAACAACCTGAGCAGCCTTGCCGATAAGACCAGCGGCCCCAAGACCAGCGGCCCCAAGACCAGCGGTCTCAAGACCAGCGGTCTCAAGACTAGTGGTCTCAAGACTAGTGGTCTCAAGACTAGTGGTCTCAAGACTAGTGGTCCTGATAACAAGGATCCAAACGCTAGCGTTCCTAAGAACAAGGGTCCGAATCGTAAGGATCTGACAAGTGGTCCAAACAGTAATGAAGATCCCGTCAGTTACGATGCAGCCACGCCGCCGACCAGCAGTCGTCTGGAGCCTGGACCTGGGCCTGCAGTTTTCTCTCCGAGTTCGGATAGCGTGAGCTCAACGTCGTCCATGCACCGGAGTCGGCGGAGCGCGGACGACGACGATGACGACCGCGGTGGTGGCGGCGATGAAGAATACCCGGTGGAGACGGGATCGGAGGAAACGCCATGCGAAGGTTACAACGAACAGCCCACGGACCCGGAAGAGGACGGCGTTGGTGACCCAGGGGAGACCGGCGATCGAAGAGGACAGTACGTGCCCGCCACTCCATCAGGCGGTTCGACTTCTGGAGATCCGTACACTCGCACGTACCTGGCCGTGTCGCCTTCCGATTTTTCCGCACGTGAAGCATCGCACGACCTGTCCACCCGCGAGTTCGGACCTCTCTTCCCGCGACGCGACTCCGAGGAAGCTCGAGACCCTTACGGTCCGACGCGGGGCTTCGGTCCAAATGTCGACATTACTGATGTAACTAACAACACCCGGCCAGCTGGTAGTGTGCGGCCAGCTGGTAGTGTGCGGCCAGCTGGTAGTGCGCGACCAGACGGTGGTGTGCGGCCAACTGGTAGTGTGCGACCAGTCGGGGAGGTCCGAGCAGAGGGTGAAGGCACCGAGGTGGGGGAGCGCGTGGCGTCATACGACAGCTGTCTGGACCTGGCCATTCCTGCCGCGTCACTCTTCCCTGAGCACCGGGAGGTCTTTATGACGCCAATGGCGGCTGAGCGACGATCCGCACCGGCAGCAAAGTCGATTTGTGTGTACACCGTGGCGGAGGTGGTGAGTTCGCACGGCGCGGCCACGATCCAGGAAGCGGTGAGGACGGCGGGGCCTTCGGCGACGGCATCTGCGAGTGCTTCAGAGTTTAGCCTCATGTCAGGTGCTCTTTTGCGCCCGCACAAGATCGTGACCGTGCTCAACGTCGACGCACGCCCTGCCGGCGCCACCCTCCCCGCTCCTAGTATACACACCGTCGACCAACTGCCCCCACCACCCACCGAAGACGACATGTACCAGGTCGATAAGTACCCGACCGATAGGTACCCGACCGATAGGTACCCCACCGATAGATACCCGACCGATAGGTACCCCACCGATAGATACCCGACCGATAGGTACCCGACCGATAGATACCCGGCGGATAGGTACCCGACGAATAGGTACCCGACGGATAGATACCCGAGAAAGTACCAAGACCCCGCCAAGGTGGAGTACCCCGTTCTACCGCCGAAGAAAACCCCCCTCCGAAGGCGCACGCTACCGAGTTCGGCCCGCGGCCCAGCGCTCGGAGCGCAGCCGCGCGTCCGCCGGGCGCCCTGGCTATCGGAAACGAGTGACGCAACCGGCGAGGAAGAACACGTGGCCGTCGTGGAGGACTTGCCGTCACGCGGGTCGCTTCGAAGCACGGCTGCTTCCGCTTTCGCCACCACCGGACCCACAAGTGTGACGACCATTGGGACCCCCAGTGGGGTCAGAAGCGGCGCGCCCACCGCTCGAACCAAGCCAAAGCCGAGCATCACGCTCATCACTTTCCCGCCGGACTATGAGAGCCCACGGCAACGGTTGCACTGCTGCTGCGAGGCTTCACGGAACCCGCCCATCCCCACCCCGACGACGACCCCGCCTTTCTCGACCCCGTCCCTTCCGACCCCGTCCCTCCCGACCCCGTCCCTTCCGACCCCGTCCATCCCGACAGGACCGTCGACTTCCCTGGCGTTACAGTCGCACTCCGCCGTGGGTCCTACGTTTGGTTGTGGGACACGGCACTCGGGGCCACTACACTCGGGGCCAAGGCCGGGTACATACGCGACGAGCGCACGGTCAGGTTCGCAGTTGGGGTCCAGTTCGCGGCCAAGCAGTTTAGGCAGCGCCTCCCTCTACAGCGGTTCACGGAGTGCGTATCTAGGGGCTCTCAGCGCCCGTGAGACCCCACCCGACTGGACGCGTCTTGCACCCCTGTCGGAGCGAACTCACTTCCCCACCGAGACTGCCTTCCTTCTGGAACCTATCGCCACCTCCCGCTCTGCGCCTGGTGGCTCAAGGTCTGCATCCGGCGGGCCACTTCTCAGTGGGCCACATGTCGCCGGGCCACAACTTCTTGGCGGGCCACTTCTCAGTGCGTCACTTGCTGGCGGAGCTGCCTTTTACGCCGCCCCTTCCGGCGCTGTCCTGGCGCCGGCGAGTTCGAGGTCCACACCGGGCGCGGTTTTTGGCTCCGGCGCGGCCAAGACCTACTCCGGCCGAAGCATCGCCTCGGCCTCGACGACCAGCTACCTGCCAGCCACCACCTTGGCGCCTCCAGCCCCGTTCCTTCCAGCGTCGTTCACTCCAGCTACGCTCCTTCCGACCACTCAGACTGCCTGCTTTATGAACAATTCGCTGCCGTCCGGTTCAGGTCCTTGCAACCCGGTGACCCGGGCTGAAACGCGCCGGCCGGTAGGCGGTTCGCTGTCGGAGGGTTCGCCGTTGAAGCCGAGTTCGGAGTTGATGAGGCGGTGTGGGAGCAAACGGTCGGTCTCGACGCCTGCGACGTCGCGGAGTATGCCCGGTCGAACCGGCTACAGTCCGCGTAGTGAAGACCTCACCTCGCCGCGCATTGCCCACTTCTCGCCACGCGCCGGCAAATATATCGCACCCTTTACGCCCCGGGAAGGGCTCTACATACCCGCCCGGCAATCCCCCCGCTAGATCACCCCCTTGTGCAGGGGGGTGATCTCCCCTTATTGGAGTGATCCATCAGCTGGGAGTGAATGCACCCCCCGGGGCCCCACGGGAGAGCGTGGGAGGCCAGAAGAAGAAGAAGAAGCCTTTTTTCGTGATCAACTAACTGGTTTTGCAGATGAGTCCAGCTCTCATGGCCGACAGGAGATACCGCCCGTTCCGAACCACAGCCACCCCAGCCACAGTCACCGCTACCGCTACCGCAGTCACTCCCGCCGGTGCAGGCACGGGCACAAGTGAAGTCACTGGCACCACTGCAGTCTCCGGCTCGAGTGCAGCCTCGAGCACGAGTGCACTAACCGCCACGGGCATAACCGCCACGGGCATAACCGCCACGGGCATAACTGCCACTGGCATAACTGCCGCGGGCACGCGAGAGAGTACAGCCGCGGGCTCGCGAGAGAGCACTGCCGGGTTCGGCAGCACGGCAGGTTTGGGCCGAGCTGTGGGCCGAGCTGTGCAGCCAGGGTCGCCGGGAGTATCATTGCCGCCGCGGGGCGAGGTGAGGTGCAGATGTTGCGCAAGTGTGTACAATGGCGAATTGAACCGTGTGGGGCTACCGCACGGGTTCGGGACATTGGAGAACGCCGCGCTCGACTACAAGTACGTAGGCCGATTTCGCGGCGGACGACGCTGCGGCGAGGGTCAGGTCGCTCTCAAGGACGGACAAATTCTCCTCAAAGGGAACTTCAGTGATGGGGCGCTGCAACGTAGCGGCGTCCTCCACGCCACTACCACCCTCGGATTTAAAGTATACCCACCCGCGTCACACCAGCAGCCCCCCCCTCCCCCCCTGGGCCAGCGGTGTCTTGCAGAGGTACGAGGGCGAGTTTCGCGACAACCTACCACATGGTAAAGGCGCCATGCTGTGGGCCAACCAACTTGAGTACAAGTAAGCAGGGCGTTGGTAACCCGACCACGGGGGGTTGGGTACCTGGCCAACCAA